GTGGAGTGTAAGGGATGTGTGTGTTCTTACTGCCGTTGGCTGTGTGCGCAGCTGTGATGGTTGCCGCCCTGTGGTGGTGTCGGGAGGGGTCGCAGTTGGGGTCTGCGGCCGACCAGCGCAACACGGGCCCTCGAAGTTCCTCGTCCAGTCTCGCGTGGTACGCAGACCCGAGCATGCCCTAAAGTGGCCAGGCAGTTGTTGGCGGCGGCGTGTGGGTGGTGGTGCGGCTGTGTGTGTTCTATGGTCTGTCGTGGCTGTGGTATGGTCTGTGGTGTTATTATGTTGTTGTGCTGTGTTGACTGTGTGAGGGTGCTCTGGTGGACTGAGGTTAGCCGTGGAGGCTGCTCTGTTTGAACAGCAGCGGGCCACATACGACGTGGTCTACTGCCGATGTGTCCGTAGTCCTGAGCAGACTCTGAGGTGACACCACCCCTCGCAAGCATTGCACTTGACAGAGGTGGAGTTCTGGTGTAGTCATCTCTGGTATACACAGCAGGTGTAGTTTTCTGGTCCTGGGTTTGACTCGATGCCACCCCTGAGTAGGAGAAAACGTAACGAATGTAGCCGTATGGACGAACAACCTCTGAGATACTTCGCCGACCTAAACGGGGTTAGATCGCCGAAACAACAGCCCTTGGTCGGGTAAAATCCGAGTCATTCCGGTACGTAGAACCGGCTGTCGTGTGTCGTGATTTTTAGCCACTTGAAACTTGCACATTGTTAAACTAAAATTGAATGGGCTATAAAACTGCGTACTCATAAAAGTTTGAAATTTATGTGAACATTTTTTTGTAGCCTTTTACAAAGTTTAAAACTTGGGTTTATATGGGTTTTGTTAGAGAATGAACTGTATTTTAATTCAAAATTCCTAAAAATAAATAAGTAAACATGAGTGGGAAACAATATGACTTTGAAAAGGGGTGTGCTATTACATTGGCCAATACTGTATGTACTATGTATTATGAAGTTGCGTTCCAGATGCTTCACGATTTGCATGTTTTTACAGGAAGCCGTTCCAGGTGACCACCTTCCATAAGGTTTATTAATGGAGCAAACAGCTATTCCTGCAAATCCTGTAAAACCTGCAAATCGTGAAGCATCTGGAACGCACCTATTGTGTTGCGCTATCTTTGGTGTGAGAGTCGAGTAGCGAAAGTGCTGGCTATTTGTTGTGATTGCAGCTTTTCGACGTTAACCCTCTAGTAGGCCAATTTTTGTATGAGTTAAAAAATTCAGGAATGGGTGATTTTAGCACGAGAAATCCAAAAATGATGTCCATTTCGATCTGTGACAGTAACTTTTTCCTACAGGGGAGAAAAACCAAGACCGTCTGGAGACGGGCTCGCCGATATACTTTGACGTATTTTCAGCTTTCTCTTACACAATGTTGACCTACGAAATGGCAATCCCGTCTGCAGACGGTCAAAACGCAAACTGGGTTTTTATATGTCGGCAAGCCGGTCTGTGTTCGAAAGCAATTTTCTGCATTTCGAATGGTGGCATAATTATAAAACTTATATCAAAATACTCTGCTTTTAACTACGAAACCCACTGAATTTTTTTGTATCAAAAAAAGTTTAAAAAGAAAAAAATTCTTTAATTACGAAATTACTTAATAGCAAGAAATAATTAATTTTAACCGAGTCTTTCACAATCTGTGATTCAACTGCCGATTAAAATAAAACGGATTGACATAACAGATTAAAATTGACATCGTCGTAAAGGTACGCCTTTTTTCTAGATAGTGCTTTAGGTGCACTAAATACGTGTTTAGTTAACGACCGTCTGGAGGCGGTTCAGCCTACTAGAGGGTTAAGCTTTCCTTGCATATTTGGGCGCACATTTTTTGCTACAGAGGCGGGTGCGTATCTTGGCTGCAACAAGATAGTGGTCAGAGTCGATGTTTGGGCGTGCCTTCCGTCTATCACAACATGATCGATTTGGTTTCTCGTTTTTCGATCCGGAGACAGCCAGGTAGCTTGATGGATCTTTTTATGCTTGAACCTAGTACTGCATACTACCATGTTTCGGGNGGCTTGATGGATCTTTTTATGCTTGAACCTTGTACTGCACACTACCATGTTTCGGGCCCCGGCGAAGACGATCAGCCTCAATCCGTTGTCAGACGTTTCGTCGTGGAGGCTGAATTTTCCGACAGTGGTTCCAAAGATACCTTCCTTGCCCATCCTGGCATTGAAGTCGCTAAGCACGATTTTGACATCGTGTCGGGCAGTGCTCATATGTACGTTCCAAGCGCTCATAGAAGAGATCCTTGGATGCCTCATCCTTCTCTTCCGTCGGGGCATGGGCGCAGATGAGCGAGATGTTGAAGAATCCTGCTTTGATGCGGATTGTGGCTAGGGTCTCATCCGAGGCTTTGCCTTGCTTCTTCACTGGAAGCGGTTTTTACGTGGCGGGTCCCAAACCCAGCGCACAACCCATTGTTGGGACGGGGGTGGTTTCACAACCAAATACACGTTTATAAAGCGAGACACCTGCTTGCAGCCGCACCTACTGGTGAACAGACGCTGCAGACTTCAGTGAGCTTTTAAACCGAATAAATCGAAGTGGCCCCACCGAAGCTCCCCCTCTTTCTGTCGTGACCCAAGGCTCCACTCGGATTGGTTACCGCATCTACCCAGAGCAACGACTATACCCCATTGTACTCCGGAGGATAATCAGGGTGGCGTTTATCTCTAAGACTGGGAAGTGCTATCATATTTTATGTAAGAACTTAAGGCCAATCGGCCCGTGTTCGTTTATGCTGAAGACACTCGATAGACAAACTGACCTCCACATAATTATCGGGATTTCTCAAGATCATCCATCTAAAACTCGGCATGCTTAAAGGAAGGTATGTATGTGGGGGCCAACAGAGCATACAATTGTGAAGTGGTTAGAAAGCCTTGATTCAGCATTCCGCGACCGTAGATAAGCTCGAGGCGATAGAACTGTCTCGATTGAGTGAGACAGCGCCTGCTACAACTTTTTCATGGGTGCGGTGTAACTAGATTGAAGAGTTTAGTTGATTCGGGGTAACCATTTGATGTTTTCATACCTACTTCTCATATTTGTTGAATCAAACCAAAAGGAAATTTAACTTCCACCTATTGTGTTAATAGCAAAAAATTACCCAATGATAAGTATATCAGGGTCGCTCCAACTTCATTCGCCCTCGAATTGAATGACTTGTTTTGAAACATATATTTGTTTGATGTATTTATTTTTGCACATTTTAGTTACAGTTCATGCGTACTAGATTATACGTTGTCAGCATTGATCAGTAACTGCTAAAACCTTTATATCTGTATTTATGCGTATATGTTGAAACTTTCTCATCTTCTTTAGTAAGTCCATAAAACGTATGCGCTAATCCTACGTTAATTTTTTGTAATGCTCCAATAGTTTAATTTAGTTGGGTTTCACTAGAAATGTTTTATTTAAAATTAACTTATTTTGCTGTAGCAGCTTTCTCCTTCGCTTGTACTGGAGTTGTTGCTGTTTTAGCGCTTGTCGCCACTTTACGTTGTTGTTTAGGTTTTGCTGGTGTTGCTTGCGGTTTAGTTTCCGCTTTTACTGCCTTAACTTCCTTAGTCGTCTCAGCTGCAGCTGGTGCTGCTGTGGGTGCCGGTGCCGGTGCCGGTGCGGGAGCTGGTGTTGGTGCTGCTGGTGCAGCTGCAGGTTCCTCTTTCTTGCCGTTTACTTCCTTAGCTTTAGGTTTTTCACTACAATTAGAGTAACTAGTTATAAAATATGTTTTTAAGTAATATATGCGTTTTTACACTCACCTTTCGATATCAATATTAAGTACCGATTCATCTTCTTCTTCGTCATCACGATCCTCTGGGCCAACTTCACGTAATAAATCACCCAAATCCTTATCAACATCTTCCCAGAGTTTATCTTCACCAACTTCCCCACCTTCGTCACCATTCTCATGTCCATTTTCCTCGGCGGCATCTTTGTTCTCGTCCTCTTCACCATCGGCCTTTTCTTTCTTGGCATCTTTAGCATCTTTTTCGCTCTCTTTTGCTTCCTTTGCTTTAGCTTTCTTAGCTGCTTTCTCCTCTTCTTCCTTGTTACGCAAGAACGCTTTGAGATGTGAGCGTAAGAGACAATGTTTCTTAGCATACGCTTCCACCGAGTCACTTGCGACTGAATAATGATTGCAGAGCTCACAGAAGTAGGCATCTACCTTCTTTATAAATGATGCACCGACAGGCTGACGTTCTTTGCTGTTCTCTTCACCATCCGTACCGCCTTCTCCTTCATTTAAAAGGGCGTCCACATCCAGGTCATCGATTTCGTCAATTTCGCCTACCGAATCGACTGTTAGAAACTTGTTCAGATCTATCTCGCGGGTATCCTCATCACTGTTATCACTATCCGAATCACGTTTGCGTGCCTTGCGCTGAAAAGGGAAGTGAATAGTAGAAAAGTTTTTGAAAAATGTAAACGACTAGATGCAGTGAAGAATCAATCATCTTCGAGGAGATATTCAGCCTTATCATAAGTTTGATTTTCGACAGAAATCGGTAACTTTTCACTTTTCGCTTCCATGTAATCACTACGGGTGGTTAAAAAAAAAAATTTTGGGTGAATTTGTTTTCGGTAGAAACTCATGATAAGGCTGATTGTGTTCCATAAAAAAAAAAAAAATCATTATAACTTAAACTATATACATTTTTTTATTGACTTGTATGTATTCTTCTTCTAATCATACTTTTACCCATAAGCGTGGAGAAGGAATTAGCACAAAAAATTATCTATGATGAATATTCATATAATATAAAAAAAATCCCGATTCCCTCGGTGTTCTCCCAACAACCTTTTTCCATAAAAAAAAGAGAATTGTTGCTACATCCATAGAAGTAATACTCACTTTTAAGTGCTCCAATGAGCAACGATGAGTTTCATAGAGCATTGGACTCTTGAATGCCAAATGACAAGTGGAGCAATAGGGCATTAAGAACTTCTTCATAGTCTTATGATGCTCCGACAATTGATGTTTTGCCTTAGGTTGGCGATAGTGTAGACGACACAGGTGACAGAACTTGGATTCGTATTCTTCCTTCGAGTTCTCTTCGATTTCGCGTTGTGCAGCACGCTGGCGAGCGCGCAGACGAAGCAAATGTGCCTTTTGTTGAAGTGAGATTTGACGTATTGCACTCTTATGAACGCGAGAGTACAAATGCTGTTGGTAATCCTGTAAAAGTTTAGGAGTTGATTTTAGAAATTTTATATGCAATTAAATGATGTTTTAAAATAGCTCGCGGTTATGAGAAGAACAAGTTTATAAAGATTAGCTATTGCATTTCCTTAATGCTTTTACAAACAATAGTTATGGGAACAAAGTTACCATAGGAGAGTGTGTTCTCAAGAAATTCGGGTCTACGTAACTGGAACGACCCAGATGTATGTATGGCTTATATCTGGCCAAGGACCGTCACACCAGCATCACTCCCCAAAAACTCTTTGTGGAATTTGTACGCTGCTACAACAACCATAGGAGTGTTCTCGTATTATACGGTCAAAATTATCCTGCAGCCAGTGTTGGCAGATTTTTTTTAAACAGTAAATTTCCGGTGAAATAGCTGTATTTTCGACCAAAAAACTGTAACTTTTAAAAACGAAGTTTTTAAAAACTAAGGTTTTGTTTTATTATATTAAACATAACCAAAAAATAATTCAGTACATAAAATAAGAAACCTTAGACCGTTTAAATTATACCTAACTAAACAAAAAACGGCTTTATAAAATGGAAGATTATAATCACATTTTGTTTTAATGAATTCAGTTTCACTATTTTTACATTGCTTTGTTTTTTTTTTCGCACTTCAAACTTAGTACCCACCTGAAGGATTTTTTTAAAGAAATCTTTAGTTCTCAAAATACCAGAAAATCCTGAAATTTGCTGTGGCGACCTGAATGCAAAGGGACCATTTGTTCCACATGAGGAAACTCTTCTCCAGCTAAAACTATGAAACTGGCAACTTTGCCTGCAGCCAAAATTATGAGAAGTAGAAAAGAACAAACAGCGAACAAATTCCCAAAATAGTTTTTTGGGAGTGTTGCTGGAGTGACAGTCCTTGGCCAGATGTAAATCCGGGTCGTTCCGGTTTCGTTTTACTAATAAAACGATTTACCAATAAAAGTATTGATTTTTTTTAAGCTATGTCCATAATTTTTACTGTTAAAAGATCGGATTCGTTTCAGTTTCGGCCGAACTCTACGAAAAAAGCCGCGATTTCGGGTCGGATTCGGATTCGGCCACAAGTTCGAGTTCGATCGGTCACGAATATTGATTTCCTTAGCTAACAACCATCACACTGCTATATTCAAATATCATATAGACAAATTCTTTCAGTCTGACTTCTTGAATTAAAATTTCGAAAATAATTGTTATTTTCATAGGCATTTGAAAAATAGTAATATTTCAACACATTTTTGTGAAAACTTTTGCGTGTGTGTGCCTCTTTTTCCCCAACTAAAATTTTCTAATTTGTAAAGTTTTTACAACTATTTTCTTTTATTTTGGCACTGTACTTTTATTTTAGTAGAATGTCACCTTCTTTGGATATTTCATTTTTCTATTTGGTACATTTTTATCAATACGATAGCTCATAGCTAAGAATAGTTGGCAGCCCTGAAAAGGCTACGAATCCCCAAATTCATATTGTCTTTGATAACTTTACTCTCCTTTATCATTGTATTCTAGCATTGGTTATATAATTTGCAAAAAAATATTCAAAAATCCCATATTTTTTGTTATTTACGAACATGACTATTCAACAATGGAACAACAATCGTTCGTCGAAATTTGAGATTTTCATTGGCGTTATGAGGCAACCAATGACGTAATCTACTACAAATGTTTATTCCTATTATCCTTTCGAAATGAATAAGTATTGAAAACGTATTAAAATCCGTCGTTAATGTTTTTATTTACGACATATTTCAACAAACTAACTACTTACGACAACCAGCATAAGGGTGAATAGTTGAAAAGTTTTGGCAGGTACAATATTTTGCAGCATCTCCTAAAAAATAATTGCGATTTTTCTCTCAATTTCCTACATTTTGCAAGTTTTTCTGCACCAAGAACGCAAAAACTGTGATAGTATGCTACGATTTTGGACAACCTTTAATACGAGAACGCTCCTAGCATCGCACACCTAGATCTAAAGCGAGTTAACTCAAAATTCAGAGACCGAAATATAACTGCTGGTGCATCGTACAGAGTCAACGCAAAAAAGAAGGTAGTTTTTTAGTTGATGTATATAATTTCATTTCATTTTCATGAAGAAAAAACTATTCGCATTAATTGCATGTGAATCCTATGAATTGATTTATGCAAAAAATTCGCCTTTAGATCTAGGTGTGCGATATCATCGTATACAAGTGACATTTAATTTTGATGAGAAGCTATTTTCCGCTGGAAACAAGAAAAACAGCTGATCAAAGTCAAATGTTTGCAATTTATGAAAATAATGGAATTTATTTTGACGATTTTTACGTTTAGAATCAGGGACAAAACATAACTCATCAATGTTCCTCACTTCTTAATTTTAACATTCCTCATAACCAATCCCT